TCTCAGTTGTGTTAGAGAACTAGGTACGGGGTATTGTTTGATGGTATCCACTTCTTTTTTGATAGGTTTAATCCCTTCTGGGCTTATTGTGTGACCGAGAAATTCTAAAGTTTGAACACCGAAAACACACTTACTTTGATGTATGTTTATTCCATGTTCATCCAGTCTTTTCAACACTGCTTGTACATGCTGTTCGTGTGATTGCAAATCGGGGCTGGCAATTAACAAGTCGTCTATATACCCCTGCGCAAATGGCATATCTCGAAGTAGGTTATCTATGAATCTTTGAAATGTCTGTGCCGCATTTCTCAGGCCGAATGGCATGCGTACAAACTCGAATAAGCCAAAGGGTGTAGTAATAGCTGTCTTGGGAATATCTTCATCAGCCACCGGGATATTGTGATATGCCCTGACTAAGTCAATTTTAGTGAATATGTTCATACCCTGTAAACCGTTGGTGAAATCTTGGATATGAGGTATTGGGTACCTATCTGGTACGGTTTGACGGTTTAGGGCTCTGTAATCCCCGCACGGTCGCCAGTCACCTTCATTCTTCTTTGGGACCATATGCAAAGGGGATGCCCATTGACTATCAGAGGGACGGATGATACCCAATTGTAGCATATAATCAAACTCGGCCCTAGCGATTTTGAGCTTATCTGGTGCTAGTCTCCTGGGTTTTGCAAACACCGGTGCACCTTCGGTTTTGATAGTGTGACTCACTTTTAGTTTGTCTTTAGAAGGCTGTGGGTTTGGTTTAGTTAAGTTTGGAAATTCCGCGAGTATATCTTGGAATTTCGCTGTTGTTACTGGGGGAGTTTGAATCAAGTTAAGAGAGCTGATGTGACTTTCTTTGCCTTTTGTGTAATACGAAGTTTCTTTTAGTGTTAATCGCCGTTTCTTGGTGTCAACTAGAAATTCGTATCTCTCTAGAAAGTCCATCCCCAGTATTGCCAGATCTAAGTCGGCTACCGTGAAAACCCAAGGGAATTGCCTCCTGAACCCCAAATCTAGGGTTAAAGTTTTCTGCCCAAATGTCGCGATTTTAGTTTTATTTGCAGCTTGAAGTGTAATTGATGATGTTTCTCGACTAATCTCAGTTTTATTTTGAGGGATGATGCTAAGAGCAGCGCCAGTATCCACCAAGAAATTCAAGCCAGAGTTTCTGTCTCTAACATAAAACAAGCGACTGTTTAGGCGCCCCTCCTCAGTCGTCGCGACCTGGGGAGGGGTTACTCGTTTCCCGCTGTCTTAGAATTATGCTTAGGCCAGGCGCATGGTTGCATGCACTTGGTTGAGTTGACACCAAACTTCCAGTGGTACCAACAAAACTGCCCAGATTGTCTGGACATTTGTGACTTGGATCGTGGTCGTTGTGGTGACCTGCTCCTGTTTCTATGACCCATTTGCATTCTGGTGACAGCCTCAGTGAGACTCTTAACACTCGCAATGAGTCCTTCTATGACGGGGTCTTTTGCTGATTCTACTTTTTGTGTGTGATTTATTGTGCCTGATCCAGTTGGAGGACCTCTTTCCATTATTCTGTCGGCTATACGCGCTAAATGAGATAATGAGGTTTCAGGATCCTGTGCATCCAAACAGTGTTGGACGTAGCATGGGAGAGCTTGTATCCATCCTTGTTTTAGGACTGCTTCACCCACTGTGTTATCACCCACTAAGACTTGGAGGTGACGTAAAAACTGTGACGGCGACCGATCACCTAGTGTTTCACCTTGAAAAAGTCTTTGGATTCTTTGACTATCTGATAATGATAAACGGTTCATTATCTCTCGTCTTAAGATGGTGTATGGTTGTGGTGATGGTGGACTTAAAATCAAGTCACGGACTTCTTTGGCGACTGAAGGAGGAAGGATAGAACACAAGTCTCTATAGCGAATCCCTTCAGATTTGATATTGTGTCTCGTGAAATAATGCTCTAGTTGAGCAAACCACAACTCAGGATCACTACGATCAAATTCTGGAAGTCGGGATTTCGTAGTCATAACAGTGTCTATCTCCACTGGTGACAAATCCTCCAGATTATGGGTTTCTATTGAGTCTGACATGAGGTATGTGACAAATATAGCAATAAAGTTAGCACAAAAAGTGGTTACTATAACACGAATAACTTAAGATAATACGGAATAAACTAGTTATATACTCAAATTAGTTTACGGATAATCAGGTCTACTTTTACGATTAAGTAAAAAAAATGTTAATAACAGAAATGAGGTTAAATTTGTGTTCAAAAAGGGCTCACCAATTTCGTGCCTTGAAGTAACCCTCGTGCTATTGATAGAAGAAACCAGACAAGTAGTGAATAGGTCTTTATTTCGATCTTCGCGCAGTCACAGTGGAGCGTGGGATTATCTGTTCAGACAAACAAAGGCTCTCAACAGTCAATATAAGATAATAGGGAATATAACGCTTATACAAAACAAGGAAGTGAATGAATACTTGAACAATACTGTTTTGGCATATGCTTGGTTGTTTGGGGTCAACTCTGAACCAACCAACCTAAGCTGTTACAGGTTCACAAAAGATAATGGCCTTTTGCAGAAATATAGGGCTGTGATGGATAAACATTTAAGTTGATGCTATATCATCGAAACTGGTAGGGAGGAATTCGACTTTAACACATCTTGTCTGTATGTTACGTCCAGGAATTTGCTCCACCTGATGAGCCGAAAATAACAAGAGAACCAAACTCCAATTCATGCACCAAACTTTATTCCCAGATTACAAATAATCGATCCAAATATCGTTCTAAAAATAGTGATGACAATTACAAAACAAACTTTCAGATTTGGTTTTTTGTGAATTAAAAAAATATATATGAACATATTAATAACATTCTGACACTAATACAAATAAAATAGAGATGAATCAATATGTTATATGGTGACTTACGTGAATTAATCGGTTATGTGATTTGGAAATCTTACTCTTCTTCCAGGTCGCGTTAGATTTCTCAGAAGTGTAGTCATTACTGTTGATGATCGAGTGATGTATCATAATTTTGAGTCTCATGTCCTTCGATTGCACCGTAGAAAAATTGACAGATTTAGGGTTTCCTTAAAAAATGCGGCTTTAAGGCGCGTTCTTAATAATGATATCGCACTCGGATTCGCGCTAAAGTATTTTCAAGTGTCCTCATGTCGATTAGAGCGTTCTACCAACCGGTTTGCTTGTCGGTGGCAGGTGGTTTTTCGGAATCGTGTGGCTTATAGTAGTGTAATGAGAAAACGGATAGTTCAGATCCGAACTGATGTCCGTGGTCTGTGGCGATAGTTGAAGGAAAATCGAAGTTTGCTACCCAACGTTTGACGGCTCAGGTCACTGTCTCAGCAGTAATGTCCTCGATGTTTACCACTCCTTGTCATCGAGTGAAACTGTCTACACACGTTTGTGTGTGATCACCTCAGATTTCTGGCAGCTTACACAGGAATGTTTTCAGTTCCTCATGTCTTTTTTCATACCAGGCCAACAAAATCGTCCTGCTATGAGCCTGATGTTTGCACGAACACTCGGAAGCGAAAGTCTGTGCAACGTATTGAAAACGTAGCGTCGATAACGTTCCGACACGATCGTACCATCACGATCTGTAGATGTGTCACACTGTAAGGCTTCATTTACCCGTTCCATCTGTTTAACACGTGGTTTCATGGTTGTTGAAGATAACTCGTTCTGAAGTTCAGTGTCTTCTATCTGGAGCTAAACGAGTTTAAGAAAGGTCAATTCCTTGCAAACTGTTCAAAGAAGTTATACGAGACAAGGCGTCTGCGACCACATGGTTTGCCGCGGCTATGCGTTGTATATTGGAAGTAAACTGTGAAATGTAATCTGGTTGTCGAGACTCTCAAGGTGAGTACTTGTCTGAAGGTGAGAAGGTAGGAGATTTGTGATCTGTGAAACGAGTTAATTCTCGATCTTCCACAGAACGTTAAAAGTGCCATACAGCACAATACAAAGCTAGGGGTTCGCTGCCCAAATTGTTATATTTCTATGTTACGTCCAAGTTTATGCTCGCTTCCGTTATTGAAGCACGGTATATTGATCTATTTACAATTTGCGAACCCAAATTAACAATGGAACCAAACTCCAAATTAGTTATCAAAGTTTATTCACAATTTACAAATAGTCGACTCAAACATCGTTCTAACAATAATTATAACAACTTCAGAAACAAACCTTCAATTTTGTAGGTTCCTGGAGCAAAAACTGTCAAATACCAAACCAAAGATAAAGAGAAATCAAAATGTCCAAAAATGATGATGTGAACAAACAATTACAGAAGTGGAGTAAACCAAATACATCCACAACAATGAAATTAAGAATATTTGATATAAAAGTTTTAATCCCCAAACGTCTTTAGTTCTCCCAAGGAATTGAAGATGCCACGGGTTTTTGGATTTCGACAGCGCTTTAACATGTAACACATTCTACTACGAATCGTACCCACCAAGTGAAATCAAAATACAGAAGCGAGGAGGTTCGAAGATATATTTGATAGGCTATCAATGTATCGAGGATAGACTGACCTAGGCTGGCTAGCGACTGCAGGGGAGTTTGAGCACGGCGTTCCCACTCGTGATCTGATGCGGATGCATGACCGAACCCCGTTCAGCTAGGTGAGTCCATTGAAACTAATGTGGTCAGCATCCAATGTCGAAGACTTACAGAACTATTTATTTTGGGGATCTTTTTACCGCTACAGAATCATGAACGTGGCTTTCAGACCACCCCTTACTCTTCTGTGACCTAAGGAGAATAATACTTAGTGATGGAGTAAGTGCCCACAACATTTGCTCTTTAATATCATATCCTTCTGCCTTGTACATCATTCCACGTGTCCCTAAAAATTTCACGCATGATATCAGGAAAAGAAGAGAAAAGAAGTTGTGGAATTTCTAAACGTTTGTCAGTGGAATCTCACTTTAACACCAAGAGGGCATGGAAAATGTTCGGTTTGCACTTGCTCGTCAAAAGCACATGGGTATTGATAATGTTGGACAAAAGGCGCACAAACAACTAAGCCAATCAAAACGCAGTTCACCTTTCAACTTTGTTATTTAACTACCATCAGCTTGCAGTTAGTCTCCTCAGCCTGCAGTTGGTGTATATTGTGCGATGCCTGGTAGGTCCGGTTTGGAAGTTTAGCTCTTTAACATGAAAAATGTTGTGTTTCTCCAAGTAAATGTATAGGATTTCAGGCAAGGCAGATATAGTACTCTAAATGTTCCAAAGATTGTTCCGTTTGAAATACTCAGAACTAGTTAGCTTGTAGTATTATGCACAATTTTGCTTATTTTCAGTTGCGTACATCGACAAAGTGTTATAATGTTTGCGTTTCATGGCACACAACATATATATATATATATATATATATATATATATATATATTGAAGTATAAAGGATAAAGTAATGAAGTCAAGTATAGGCGAGAAGTGGGTAGTTCGACGATCACTAAGGTGTCACCTCACAGATCTTACGATTGACGAACTGCATTTTGTCATGTCTCATTATTTTCCCAGCATACGCCTATTAGCAAAAAAGATTACTTTTATTTGTTCTGTCCCCTGAATTAACCAAATCTTAGCCATTGTCGCTTGTATATTCCTCGAATTGCTTCTATTTCCCCATTCTTATTTAATTGGGAGGTCTTGTTCTACGTTTCTCTCTGTTACTCGTCCGTATATTTATGTCTACTTCCCGTATATATCGTTTACCGAGGAATAGATATATGGAGTAATGCTCCTTAGATCGGTTAAGTAGTATAAAAGCGAAAGTTGCTTCCAAAACATGCTAATTCTTGGATTTTGTGATACCACTGAGTTTACAACTTGTTTTGCTTAGTACCATTCTCTAAGAACTTTATTTGTCAATGTATATTTCAGATTGGTTTGTAATCTAGCATTTCCACAAATCGATCTTGGCAGTATAGTTATATATCTCGACTCATGTTTATTTCGTAGTTCATTCTTTGTTGCTAGGATTCCTAATGCTTTCTGTTGTTCCTTTGAATCATAAATAATATGATCCACCCATTTTCATCTCATCCCTTAAATTCACATTCATCCGTCAGCTTTTTGCCTTCTCATGTCTCAATTAGGAAATCCTGTCAACGATGTTTCTGAGATCTATAGGTTTTGTGCCGACTGACAAATTGTCGTCTTTGACTGCTGCTCAGTTCTTTCTAACTATGAGGTTTGTCAAACAAAAATGATCTATTAAATCGTGTTGCTTTGTTTCGAACATATCATCTCCCTCGAATTGGTGGCTGATAAGATGAATGACTTTCTCTTGTAATTTATTGACTATGATGGTAAGATTTACTGGACGACAATTTCTCGACAGTCTTACCCAGTTTTACAAACAAAACTATTGGTGTCATTCTTTGAGCCTGAGCTACACTTTCACGAAGTTGAAGCAGCTAATTAAGCACCCCAACATATTAACTTGGGTCATAAAGTGTCAGCTGCTTTGGTAGGTGATAGGGAAGTCACTCAAGCCGTAGAAAATTACTGAAGTTTTTCTTCTAAGTTGCAAATCATATCGTTGTTATTTGTGGAGCTTAACCGATCAATTAAAAACTCTAATGTCAGCCTAGTGACACAATAGCCCAGACTAAGGATTAAGTTCATAAATCTTATGAGATGTTCGTCAAATTTATGCCCAGTTTCCTTGGTGAATAACAAACCAGAATAATTGCCTTTTAACGAATAGCCACATCGCTAGGTATCGTGATTATTATATAAACCATAATTTACAAATTGTAGATGTTCCTAGTTATTTTCTGTTCTGTTTGTTTCTACTTTCAAAGATAAACGGTCAACCTATCCAAAGTCCTATGAAAAATATTTCCCATTAGATCGTTCAAGATCGTTTATTAGTGTGCATTTAAATCAGCAGTCAATAATATCCGATCATAAAGTGAGTTGTTAATCACTCAAATAACCGTTTTGTCCGTCGTTTTCTAGAAGTGTAGTGTTTAATGGACTCAAATATTCTATACTAAATAGTTATTCAGTGATTAATGTAAATAATACAGTACCGCTTTGAATTACTACATCTGATAACAACACACTACAAGCAATAAAATCAAAATCCCAGTTATCAACAATAATGAAAACCCCAAATCGACGAGTGAACATATCGAAAAAAGAATGTAATTAAGGATTAAGATAGACGAAATAGTATTAAGCGTGGTGTTTAGAAGGTATGAGCTGTTGTCTGATACAGAGACTGGTTTTAAACCGTGTCCGTACATGATTAATAGTTATTTCAGCATTATCAACAACCTAACATCCATCTACTGTGGCAAGGTGACTGACATTTAATTACCTGAGCTTCTAAATCTACTCCTTTTATCATGTTATTCAACTCAACTTGATCAGAGTATCTTCAATTAGATGTATTTTTGAAAGGTATTATAGTCATCCTAATGTAGGTAGTGTCATTAAAAAGTATGGGAGGAAACGCTTTACTTCGAAAGTTCGTTTACATACAGAAAATCTAGGGTATGTATAGTATTTTTGATGGCCGTGTGCTTCCAGAAATTTCTGGAGCGCTACTAAACATAGCAGTATAGGTAATCATCCATGCAGAAACGCGGCACTTTCTAGATGTTTCTGGCAAAACTTATATCGAATGCTGATTGGATAAGATGTTTCTCAGTATTTACAGAACCCTTTTTTATCATTTTTGAGAAATTTTCTTGATTTCCCCAACAATAACTAAGTATTATTTAATGTAACGTTTATTAGCTCTAGAGTTCTTTGTTATATTGTTGCACCATTCTTTTGTTTTGTGATGAATTCACAATCTTCAGACAATTTTCATGAGATATCAGTTCTTATAATCATTCGACGACAAATGTCTACAAATCGTAGGTCGCATGATATAAAACCACTGAGTGGATAATTCGGAAGTGAAGTATAGCATTGGATAAAAATATGAAATTGTTTTATTAGGGCATAAATCTTAGTCAGCTCAGTATAAATTGATCATCATTCTTTACTTATCGTTATATTAGCCACATCATATGTGGTAAATACATTAAAAATGCTTAAATTTCTCAATCTGATATACTATTATGTACGTACTGATACGTGGTTAGCCTCATACACCATTATTTGCAGTTTTGGTTTGGGCAGCCAAGAAGTTCCATTAGGCTTCGCACTTAGTGTTGTTCATACCCAAGAACCTGGTAGACGAGTTAATTTAACTTCAGTCAATTAATTTTTCATTTACAAATAACTGATTCGACAAGATTTTAATTCTCTCAATTTCTTAAAAACTTTAAAGAAAAACTTTGGTACATATTAAGTTGTGACGGAAGAATTTTCTTTCTGTTACTATCTTATTAATTGATTTCAAGAATTATTTTTCATATTTACTGACTGATTTGTTCGGTAATTTTAGACTGGTGCACGAAAATCTGCGATTTCTCAAAAGTTCACTGACGAATCTCGTGTACAAACAGTCAAAGATCTTTTTGAATATGGCTTAAATAATTCGAGTAAGTTCATCCATTCACACTAACTATTTGTTTATTGTTGTCTGTTCACGATAAACTTTGATTTGCGAAATAGATCTAGTTGAATAATCAACTGCCAAGTAGAACCTTGTTATTTGTTATTGTGTTTGTTTACTTGTGAGCTTTTCATTTTCTTTCGACACAACATCACCAGTACTTAATCCTAGAAGTGACTTTTTAGAATCGGTTCACAAACAGTCAACAGTTTATCGTAACTGTTTCCCATGTGGCTATTGTATTTCCTATCAGTTTATAGCGTAAGTGAATTTCATCATTCTCAATAATTCGTGAATGATTTGAATACAAAGTCCTCTAACATTCTCCTGTTCCCTTTGTTACTGCTAGTTGAAACTTGATGGGTTTATATGAGCGAATATGTTTTGAAAAACGATCATTGTTTTTAGTATTGTGATGAATTTTCTATACATGCTATCAAATGGTGCCTTAACTCATGGTAGTGTATTTATTGTAAGTTCTTACACTTTATTTGTTTGGTCCAGTATATCTAGAGGTTGGAAAATGAAACGTTTTTCGGGATTCTGTGCTAAATTGTGTCCCATGCTATTAGATAACGTAAACAAAACAAAATTAAAGCTTTAAACATTTTCTGTTGTATTAAGTGATGAAAATATATTTACATATATAAGATCGAAAAATCATGAAGTTAAACGACAACTTGATTTGGAATTCCAATTATCTAGCACTTACTGTGCACGATATATATGATTAATAGCTCTATGTATTTGGAATACTCCACGAGTGCAAGATAGATCTCAACAACAAGTTCCAAGCTTTACAAGATCTCAAAGAAGAAGAAACTACTATGGAGGACAAATAGAAAAATATAAAAGAGTCACTAGCTTCAACGTCTCAGTTGGTTCTGGCCCTTAAGAAGCATCATCATACGGAATGGATCTCTATAGAAACCCTGGACATGATTCAAGAGAGGAAAAACAGGAAAACAGCAATTATCTACAACCGAACAAGAACAGAAAAAGTCAAAGCACAAGCTAAACACACGGAATCAAACAAGCAAGTGAAGAAGATTATTAGAGCTGACAAGCAGAAATATGTGGAAGAGCTAGCAAGGACAGCGGCAAAAGCTGCAAAAGGAAATTTGAAACAATTACGATACGATGAAAAAATTAGCACGAGACTGGTCAGTGACAAAGAAAGCGAGACAATCACTGAAATTCAAGAGCAGAGGAAGAGATGGGTGGAACATTTTGAGAAACTCTTGAATAGACGAGCCCCTCTGAATCCATCGAACATCAAAGTAGCACAAACAGACCTTCCTATATATATCACTTCACCAACGATCGAATAAATCAGGATGGCCATCAGAGAAATCAAGAGTAGGGAAGCAGAAGTACCTCACAATATATCAACCGAAGCACTGAAGTCAGACACAGAAGTAACTGCAAAGATGCTCCCCGTTCTATTCAGGAAGATTCGGAAGAAAGAACAAGTGCCACCAACAGACTGGAAAGAACTGCACCTCATCAATATACCAAAGAAAGGAGGCCTGAGCAAATGTGAGAGCTACAGAGGCATCACACTACTATCGGTACCAGGAGTTTTTAGCAGAGAGTTACTGAACCGGATAAACGATTCAATAGACGTCCAACTTTGAGATCAACAGACCGGATTCCGTAAAGACCGGTCGCATACAGACCAAATCATCGCTGAACAATCGATTGAATGGAAACTTCTTTGACTATGAGAAGGCATTAGATAGCGTGGATAGGAGAAAGTTAGGGAATCTTCTTCGACACGAGTGAGTAGGTGAGAAAATCGTCAACATCGTCTGGAATCCATACGACGGACTACACGCGAAATGGTCCATGGTAACAGCTGACAGATGCATTCCAAGTGAGGACCGGTGTCAAACAAAGTTGCTTACTCTCATCCTTTCTGTTTCTTCTGGTGGTCAACTGAATTATGAAGACCTCAGCATTCCAAGGGGAGGCACGGAATACAATTGACAGCCTTCATGCAACAGACGATTTGAACTTTGAGGATGACCTAGCCCTTATACCCCATACACACGAACAGTGCAGGTGAAAGCGATCAGTGTAGCAGAAGCTTCTGCAGCAGTAGGACTCCCAATTCATAAGGAAAAAGCCAGTCCTTATATATTATATATTATTATTTTTAACACATAGATATTGGTACAAGGAGGCACCAAATACATATGCGCCATACAAATCTCTGTGATACTGACCGGGTGCAAGCATTGTTCGGGATGCGATTCTCTCCCTCGAAATGCGAAATGTTGCTTCAGGATTGGGTTACATCGACACCCGAACTAGTGATAGGGATGAAGTAGTTGTGTGTCGACCCGCTTCACTTATCTTGGATGTCTCATCAGCCCTTGTGTTTAGTGTGTGACGAAATCTCAGCACGGATCATACCAAACCAGGTAGTTTCGTTGGGCAGCCACTCCTCGAGCCTTTGACCTAGAGGTATAATCCACAAAGCAATGGGGCAACAGTAGGAGACGTAGTTTCATGGTAGCCACTGACCAACAATAGGTTCATACGTCATTTTCCATCAAGATCTTAGAACCCATGTCCATTATTGTTTTAGAATCAGGGTTTTCCACCCCACCCCCTACGCAGATCATTCGAACCCATTAAACAGTTCTCTCAATTTTGTAAACAACATCCCCACCGCGAGAAGGCAATGGGTATATACGGTTGGCCATATGAGAGTATTTTGATACATTTTGGTCGTTGTGATCGTCATGATTATGGATTTATAACTGTAAATGCTCTGATGATGAAGTTATTCAAATAAAGATTTGCTCGCCCAAGTATTCTCAATTAAGCAGAATATGTCAATGAACTTGATTATTTAATGCTTTTTAAAAACTTACTTCGCCCCTTCCATCACGTAATGCAACCAAACCAAAATCTGGGACGTCCACAAGTTTCAGTTCCACACCATAAACAACACCACCGACAGTACCTAAACGGTACTCTCCGACCGATGACAAAGTGACGCATCCCATTGTTTCGGTTGATCCATACCCTTCAAAAACCTTTTACATAGAAAAATATGAATAGATGTCCGGAAATTAATATGATGAAATCAGAAATATATTATAGGAGTAACGTTATTTTTTAATTAAAAGATTGTTGTATTACACCAATTATCATAAAATATGTATTACGCCTGAACAAAAACCAACACATGCCATAATTATCTTTAGGTAAAGAATCTTGACGTTCAATGGTTTTTTCTATGTGACTATTGCAGAAGCATTAAACGCCAGCGTCCCATCTATACATAATTCACAATTTTATTAGTTTTGCTCAGTAAGGCACTGATTAAAGCAACTAACTCATAATAATCAGAATACATAAAAAGATATCCCACAACAAACCAAAAGTTTTGAATTCACTAAAATATGACATTAGTTTGATAGTTTATGCAGATAACAAAGGTGTCAAACATAACATTCATTCAATATAAGTACCCTTTGATTTATGATAGATAAATGTAGAAAAACAGTCGGTGAAGCGAGTGGAAGAAGAAATAAGACAACTTCCAAATAATTATCCAAGGGTGTAAATTGGAGACATCATTTACCACTAAATAAGGAATTAAAGAGTAAGACATAAACCACCTATAGTAACGATACTATGAAAAACTATTAGCGAATTGATATTCTTGAAAATTACTAATCTGGTTTGAAATAAAGCAGAATCCAACCTACCACGTTGAATACAGCATGTGCAAACTTTGAGAGTTCTGGTGACAATGGGGCGCTCCCGGATACTACGCAACACACACGTCCGCCAAATTTCTTTCTAAGTTTACCAAACAACATTGTGTCCACAACGCTTCGATGATGAAATTTTCCACTAGGATCAAAAGGAAATAATCGATTACTACTTACAAATTTACCAACAGTAAAAAGTTTTAATTTTGCAAGATTCGCTGTTGGGAATAAATAACCCTACCATGCTAGAGTCAAAATGAATATTTACAGATACAGTAAATTCTTACGACTTTATATTGGAGTGTAAGCTAACGTCAATAAGTCGCCTATAACTCGACGGGGAACTCTTCGTTTTTTGCAAATAATGAAACTCAAGATTATCCCTATCATAAGTATGATTTTCTTGTTTGATGAAGCAAATATTTGATAACTCAAACTTAATTGGACAGAAATTTTAGAAAGTGGATGATACACAACCACATCAAATTGTGAAGCAGTACGTAATACCAAAATCAGACCAGAGTGAATTCCAAGTCTTTCATTTTATGAAGCAATAGTGACAGTGATTGTTCACAATATTGCAAAGTTATCATTGATTCGAAACCCCTATATAAGAACACCTTGGAATTTATTATTACTGAACCAGCTAATTTAGCACATGGAAATAACGGGTGACAGTAAATAGCTTCACTCTTTCTTATTGATAGGTGTGATTAGTAAAAAAATTTTACGTAAATCAATAAATCATCGATTCTGCAACAGATTGACAACAACGCAGATAATAAACATTCTATGCACTAAAAAAGTGAGATGAAATATTCCAGTCAAAGTAGAAAAGAGATTATTGATTTAAGCAATTCATTAGGTGAGTATTCAATTGCTAAACAAAAAATCGAAATATCTCAATATAAAATGATTCGAAATCAACTTTATTATTGTACTTATTTAGATCGCACCAAAGTACAGAAGCATCTAGTTGACGTTAGGCGACTGACAGTCAGTCGGAGGCCAAATATTTCAGTGGTAACATTTCAAACTGAGTGATCTGGGTTCGAACTCCACCAGGGGTATCAGTTACTTTAACGTTACACGTACGCCATGCTAACGAGCGCCACGTGGCACGAAACTTAGGTCCAGTATTTAGTTCCTATGACCTTCAAACATAGTGTATGTGATTTCGATTTACTTAGACTGACGATCACATTGCAACTTATTCGATAAAATTCGATCAGCATTAGTGACTAGACAAATATGACAACGATCCTTTCTCATTGTAAACATTTAACTGAATTATGGAAATAATGGACTATTCAAATATTTTCGGAGAATATTTGTAAACAAATAACCTAGTTTACTGATAATGTTCACTGTTGAACGTTTTTGTTCGTCATTCGTTTTTTTAATGGTGTTATTTGAAGCAAAACTTCTTCAAGTCACTAAAAACTTACGATGAAAAATTAAATTATCATTTAAATTTTAATAAAAAATAATATATTCATAATCTCTCAATGAGTAGAAAAATTAATTTTTTAAAATTTTCTGACATTTCATAACTCAGTGTAAGCTACCTCTTCAGGGAATTATATTTTCTTATTAACAATCTACCAAATGCTCTATTTATTTGAAACTATCATCATCTAAATGGTACTAAGAGAAAACTGGAAATATGCAAAAGTGAATTCTATTTGTTTTGTTTCATTAAAAAAAATCCATTTCATTCATAGTTAATTCAAAGCATATTTATACGTTTGTTTATTAGTCGACATTGATATAAAAGAAAACAGTCAAGATTATAACTAGGTCAGTTTTCACTCTCTATCTATCTGTCTATCTTTAGTTACACAGAAAGAACACACTTGGAAAACTCTATACAATCGGTATTAGTTTGATCGATTTTGTGAAAATTTAAATGAGTATAACCCTGTTTTAACAATCGTAAATGCTTTAGAGTATTGATTTTCTAAAATATCTTTGAAAAACAAGAAAATATACCGTTTTTGTTCAGCTAATTTTTTCTTCACAATGTAATTATAAAGTTGTTTTTTTACTACGGAATCACCCAATGCACTTTGATATTTTGTGTACAGACGAGAAAGTACACGTGGAACTATAGCCAATAAAGTTGGTCTCAAAATATGAGCATCATCCAGTAGACCATCAATAGATTCTGTTAGAAATCCCGAACAAGCTCCCATCAGAATATGAGAAGACTACAAAAATAAATCAGACAATCAATTAGTAAAAAAATAATGTTGATAAAATTGACTACTCAAAAACGATAATTAAAAGTAATCGATTTCTTCCAGTATGGTTTACTTGGATTTTTTCAAAATCATATAATAGTAACTCCAAAATGTCTAGGAGTAAAGCATTACAAAACATGAACATGAGAGTTATATTCATTTTGCATCAGATAATCGTTTTTACATAATTAGTTAACTTTGGCCGGTAGTGTCATGACAAGTGATGAAGAGTGTTTGATTAAAAATGATACAGGGTTAATTGTCCTCAAACGATACAGAATACAATTCATCAGGAACTAGACTAAATACACCAAGATACATCCTGGTAGGTGGCCTATGCTCCTCCTTCTTATGAAAACACTATTGGAAGAACAACCAAAACGTATCAAACTAAAGTAGATTAAATATGTTTTTCAATGCAGATGAGCATTAGCTGGAAAATCAAGGAAGACTAGGGGCTACTGAACAGTTTTTTGTTCTTGTTAGAAAAAAAACACAGTAAGACACTACAACTGAGTAAACTTCAGTTGTCGAACTTGGGAGTTTGACATACGTTTACTCACCCTACACTTAACATCCTCAAAATGAATAAATTCATCACTAAAAGATCTCCTGTTATTTTTAAAAGGTAGATATTTGAAAACATTGATGTCATTTCCATTCGATGTCTCAGTTCTCATAAAACCATAGGTTGTCCCTAACAGAAATATCTGATAACGTTTTGAATGGAAATGGTTACCTACTAAAATTAATACTGATAATCATCAAAAAGGCATAAGAATAGGACAAAGATGAATGGTGGCTAGAAGTGGGATCCGGATGGCGCGTTCCTTCCCGATTTGGGACTCATCATCTGGATGTACTTGCATTTTAGAGTTGATGTTCACTCCTGGGACTTGAACCCAGTGCCGTTCGCTTCAAACGTCATCGCGTTATCTACTTAGCCACTAAGTCCAGATATCCACTAACTTAAGCGATGGGGTGAAGTTTAATTCGAACAACCAAGACAAAAATGAGTTAAAAATAGGAAGTTTACCATTGCTACTTGTTCCATCATATGTGGCAGTGGGAGATATGAGAGATGTACTGAATTAGAATTGATCATCTGAAATAAAGAATATAAAAGAAAAACAAAATCAACCACTGGATAAGCATTAAATTTTGTCTAGTTACATAAGTCTAATCTATTGGGAAATGCACTATTTCTCGAAAATTCTACTCAAATCAGCCGGAAAAGGATTTTCAACGATCGTCATAGGGATATTGTTGAACCAGAAGCGACAAAACCAACTCACATCCTGAATGACTAATTATTAAGGCTACATCCAGAAGTCCCATAAGTAACCACGTGCTTTACACGTAACCTGTGGTATCGGTCGCTACGTTAAGCCCACATAGCTTATTCTAGCTTATCGACAAGCTAATTTATCCATTCTTCTTGAGTCATGTTATGACCTTGTTAATTATTCGCTTATCAACCTTGACCGTTTTTATGTTAGAATATGTGTGTATTTCTCACCTTACTCATCACATGTCTGTAGCTTATTTTTGTCTGACTATAAATATCGATCCACTCATGGTTCAATTGAGTTGGCTAACACTTCTCCACTGCGCGTCATTTTGCGTCGCCCTCTTCTCTTCTCCGCTCGTTTGTCTCGATCAACAATTGTATGAAATATACGTATTCAAAAACTCATTTTCGTATTTGACGCCAGTTAAGTCAATGATTATATACGAGGATAACCGGGATGTATATTTGACAGCAATCACTTGATAACAATCAGAAACTATCTACCTAAAGTCAGATCTTGGGCCACTAAAAACCATCCAGTTGGAGTAGGGAGTAAATCATTTGCTTTCTTATATCTTCCTAGTGGTTGATGTTAAATAAAGAGTCAAGTAGAGTTTGGTGCATATTACGTTATAGTGCATTTGTGTTACATTTACTTATAGCGTCAACTATTGCACTGATGTTTAAATTGGTGTAGCCAGCATCGGTTTTAACGTAAAACATGCTGAATTTTCAGCCTTTTCAATTGATACATATAAAAAATATAAAAAAACTCAACATATCTATCTGAATCGTAGGAGACTCTGTAGACTACCGAAGTGAAACCCACAGAAAGAACTTAATTGCTTATCACTTTTAATTTACTGATAATATAGGGAATAAAACTGAAACAACCAGAATATATTAATATCACTGAGATAAATTACGTTTATTATTCAAGCATCCAGGATTTGTATATTTGGATAACTAACGCATTTAAGAAAATCCATTACTAATTAAACAGATATGCTAAAATGACACATTGGTTTACCTTGAATTCACTAGATTCATGAAGTGCAATTACGGCACATGCAACTTCTTTGTGCCTAATCAGAACTCCTTTGGGCAAACCTACATCAACAAAAAGTGGGATTTTTAAGTGTTTTATTCTTGTATACAACAAGAATACCTGACAACATGAAATATTTTGCCCTGATTGTGTCTGCTAACTAATGAAAAACCAAAACCTTTCTTAACAAGCCTAACAAATACAAATCCTTTATGGATTCAGTCAGTTATGTACAGTGTAGGACCTGTCACATATATCTTGGTCCGAATTGCTATAGCATAGCAAGATGAAACCATCAAAATATCATATTAGAAGTGTAGTGGACGCTACTCACAGGATTGTTTTTAAGTAGTATATAGCGGAAAAGTGGCATCGAATTTGTAACAATTTTCAAACCGAGTGAAGAGTTTGTGTACATCTAAAGTGCGGTGTTGACCGAACACTTGAGGACAAAATGAGAAGACAATTCAGATAGCAGAACACACCGACAAGTCCTGCTATCGCCTCAAACTGTCTGAGGAGGTAGCTCCCGATGCCTCCGTTTCAAACGGCTCTGGCCATGGCACTTTGACCTTGATCCTGGCAGCGACACCAAAAGTAGAAGGCAGTAGGCAGTAGGTAGGGGGGATATATATCTGTTGTGAGAATTTACAAAGTATTTACATAATAAATACACATAGTCTTTAATTGTCCATTTGCATCTTTCGGTGTGTCCTAACAACGCCGCGCTTTCGATGTACGCAAACTCTTCAATCGGTTTGACAATTGTTACAAATTCGATGCCACGTTCCGCTATATACTACTTACAAACAATCCTGTGAGTAGCGTCCACCGCAGTAGTAGTATCGGTGATAGTGAGAAACACTAAGTGTAGGGAATATATTAGAAAAGAATGGATTTGCTGAATAGAAGGTATAAAATCGTTTTGAAATTCAGGATCTAAGCGACTCTAGAGCGTAAACATATCTAAACTTACCTCCCACCAAGACTGCTTGAGTATCAATGATTTTATGGATTGATATCATGTCTTAATTTGGTCACTCCTAGCTTTCTTCCGATTTGCCTCAAGCGTAGACAATATCCCTGTCGAGCTAGGTGGTGGCTGGGCCTACATAATACGTCTTAATCGCCTCAGTAGATGGAGATTCACTCAGCAGTCGCAAAATAAATAAGCAATGCTTCGGAGACGCCTATAATCAAATAATAGTAACCTAAAAATCTTCGATTGACTTATAAAACAATTCAGTTAGTACAGAAACAGAACGATCAACTTCTATTGAATTAGTTCCACACTTTCAAAAAGGTGGTAGCCTGCATAACCAGATTATTTCTCTAACAACCAGCCAACTTTATGTACTTGCTTTCTATACACTTTGTTCTGACGGCTGTTTTGTATTCAGGCACTTACCTAATTCTGGACTCTATGGAGTGAAAGTTAATTGGTTAAACAGTTACGGACAGAAAAGGATGTTACAGTGATTTATCATTTTATCTGCCAATAGGGATAGATATTCTTAAAAAATGGAATCTACTTGAGACAAGTCACTTAGCTTGTTATGATTGCACAGGACATGATTTCCTTACTGATGTTTAAGCGAAAAAAGAATTTTTAGAAACACTGGCGTTTTAATTAGTAAACTTAAAAATACATTTAAATTGACAAGCATATCGATATTTCAGTTACTTGAAATACAGTACAAGATATATGCTTACCAGTACTTCCACTAGTGTAGGAAACCATATAAAGGTCTGTTGGTAACGGGTCCTTTTAAAAGAAAAAGGAATAACTTAAAATGTTTTTTTAATGTAAAGATAAATGTTTCCATCATCGATTGTTGCAAAACATAACAATCTATGAACATTTCGATTACTAATATTTAATTACTACAGGATAAAAGGAACTGTCCCAACCGCTGTTGCTACCTTGACGTGGTGGTCGGGTTTGCCTATCGTGATGAAGCAACCGAGCTGTACTGGCTAAAACAATCGTTCCTCAAAGTCCTACCATGTCAGACAGGTCGGTTGAAGAGCGGTAAGACTAAAAGCAACAAACCCAAGGTCCGAAGGTGAAGTCGTACTGCTGACTGTACAGAGGTGCGACAGCCGGGAAGTGATAACCGCCCTCATACCTCTAACAGCACTCAAGACCACTGTATTCATAATCAACCTTCCTCTTCAATTCCTATTATTCCTCCCAAATCGACTTTCAACTCTAAATTTCCTCTTTCGGCTTCCTCCTCAAGTGTCACCATAGCCAACGATTCTAGTGCTCAAAACTCTGTCCCAGGTCTACTGAAACCTCGCTCCAAACTACACATTGGAGCCTTCAACGTACGAACCCTATGTCAAATCGGTCAGCAGGCTTCCTTGGCTAAAACCCTAGAGTCTCTTTCCATTGATGTATGCTGTGTCTCCGAAACACGCATATAGGATTCCAGTGTGGTCATTCACTTGACCTCACCTCGGCAAGACGGAGAGCCAACGAGATACACCCTCCGTGTATCTGGTGACCCTATGGCCAGTTCTCGTGGACTGGCAGGTGTAGGCATAGCACTAAGCATGAGGGCGGAACAAGCACTGCTAGAGTGGATCCCCGTCAACAGTCGTCTATGTGCTGTTCGGCTAAACGGCTCCGTAAGAACTCGGAAGGATAGGGACACACGTCGTTACCTTTTTGTCGTTTCTGCCTACGCTCCCACCGACGGCAGCTCAGATGATGTGAAAGATGAATTTTACAGAAAGCTTTCTGAACTTCAGAGAGCTAAACGTTCAGACATAGTACTCATAGGGGGTGACTTTAATGCTCAGATAGGTAGCTTAAACCAAACAGAAAGGCATTTAGGTGGGTATTTTAGTATTCGGGCACAACGAACAGAGGATGGTAGTCGTCTGCTGCAACTGTGCTCAGACAATCGTTTATTTTTAGCAAACACAAATTTTAAGCATAAGGAGAGACATCGTCTAACATGGCGACCCCCTACACCAAACCAACGATGGACTCAAATAGACTATATTGCCATCAGTCATCGTTGGAGAGGGTCGGTAGAAGATTGTCGCTCATTCTGGAGTACCTGCTTGGACTCCGACCACGCCCTAATACGGGCACGCATCTGCTTGCGCCTCACTGGACGCAAAAAAGCAACAGTAAAAAGACCCATTAGAACTGAGTTGAGTAACGAGAAAACCAAAAGTAGGTTCCAAGAACAACTGAGTTCACAATTAGGTAGTTCTGAAGACGAGGCCGACCCAGATGTTGCTTGGAAAGACATACAATCAGCTGTGGAAACAGCAGTGACATCTATTAACGACTTAAACCACAGAGTTGTAAGGAACCAGTGGATTTCTTCAAGGTCTATCACACTGATGGGTTCTCGCAAACTCGTCCCATCAGGTTCCGAACATGATGAAGAGCGACAACAAATCAGATCTAGGTTAAGAAAAAGTCTAAGAAACGACCGTGAGCAATGGTGGGCAATGAAAGCAAAAGAGATGGAAAAGGCGGCGACTATAGGGAACACAAGATAGCTTTACAGACTAATAAAATAAACTGGAATTAATAAGTCAAGTGTAAGTGAGATTATTTCGGAAAAAGACGATACTCTCATCTGCTCCCAGTCCAGACGTTTAGAACGATGGGCGGAACATTTCAGAGAACAATTCAACTGGCCTTCAGCTACTCTACAACTACCCTCCATTCCCAGACAGCGTGAATGGAACATTGAAGTAGGTCTCCCAACTCTCGCTGAGGTTGAGAAGGCTATAGTTAATCTGAAACGAGGAATGGCAGTTGGTTCAGATGGATTGGCCCCAGAGGTCTATAAGGACGGTGGTTCAATTTTAGCGATTAGTTTGACTAATATTTTAGCTATGATCTGGGAATTAGACGTTATCCCATCACTTATCGTCCCAATACATAAGAAAAGGGTCAAAATCATCCTGTGACAACCACAGAGGGATTAGTTTAACTAATATAGTATCTAAAATACTAGCCTCGATAATTATCAAACGCCTAAGACTGCAAACACGAGAGAACCAAGCTGGCTTCAGACCTGGTCGTGGCTGCATCGACCACATATTCACCATTCATTTGATTGTAGAACACAAACGTGCTTAACGGCGACCGACAGTGATTGTTTTTCTTGACCTCAAAAAAGAGCATTTGACTCTGTAGACCGCGAGATTCTGTGGCAGTGTCTGTCATTGAAAGGCGTACCTTGTAAAGGCTCTTTACTGGAACACTACTAGTCGAGTCAGAGCTTATGGCGAACTGTCATCTACTTTTGCAACCTCAAGTGGTGTCCGTCAAGGCTGTCCACTTTCCCCATTTTTGTTTAACTTCATCATAGATTTACTGATGGAAATAACTTTCTCGTCCACTGAGTTATCGGGTATTGATCTCCATCCAGGAGGTCCACTTATTGACTTAGAATAGGCAGATGACATAGTCCTGTTTGGTGAAGACGCTGACAAAATGCAGAGTCTTTCGGTAGCACTGAGCAACAATGCCAGAATGCTTGGAATGCGCTTCTCCCCCTCTAAATGCAAGTTGTTGCTTCAGGACTGGTCTGGGTCAACACCTGAACTAAGGATAGGGAGTGAAGTAGTCGAACGCGTTGACAACTTCACTTATCTTGGAAGTCTGATCAGCCCTAATGGGTTGGTGTCTGACGAAATCTCAGTACGAATTCGAAAAGCTCGTTTGCCTTTTGCCAACTTACGTCACCTTTAGCAAAGGAGAGGTATCCGTCTATCAATAAAGGAACGAGTATACTGCGCGGCAGTTCGTTCTGTTTTACTTTACGGCCTTTAAGAGTAGGAGACACCCGTAAGCTACTAGTATTTGACCACAGATGCCTTAGAAATATTGCTGGCGTCTGCTGGGATCACCGGGTAAGTAATAGTGAGGTTAGACGCAGGGTATTAGGGAATGATGGTAAATCAGTTGATGAGGTTGTGAATCTTCGTCGACTGAGATGGTTAGGCCACATGTTACGTATGCCTGAACACCGATTACCACGACGTGCAATGCTAACCGGTGTTGGAGATTGTTGTAAGAAAGTAAGGGGCGGCCAAACCAAAACGTGGCATCAGTGCTTGAAGTCACTAACTTTTAGTCTGAGCCATGTTGGTAGATGCAGACTACTTGGTTGGGGTCCGCGTGACTTTCGTAACCAATGGTTGGAGACTCTTGGTGACATGGCTCAGAATCGATCACAATAGCGCCGGCGTATACACTCTGTCTTCCCTTAAACTAAGAGATTAAAATCGCTTCATATATTTCTTTCTACTAACTAATTCTTTCTTCCTATACTATATTCTTATTGCAATCTTTCTCCTATACATCACCAAATTTGACCTTACCACTCCTATGAATCGGGTGTTCATCTTGCTGTGTTAATGAGGTATGGCAACCTGGACCGATGCACATATGTGCCTGGTCCTACGTTGTAGCTGACTGACTGACTGAAAAGGAACTGTTGTATTTAATATGCTGTCAATAGGTAATACAAATATATATATATATATATGAGTATATGCGATTGCTTTTACAAATCTGCTGGTGCAGATGTGTAGGATAACTGATCTCATACCGTAATTCGAAGCGTGTAAAGACCAGAGATGGATGTTCTGCAGTGACTACCTGTTAGGATAGTCTGAAAAATAGACCAATAATTATCATGTTAAGTCCAATGGTGTCCTTGGACTTTAAATGGACATTTCCTATTGGTCGATATTTGTTCACTTGTTAAATATTGTACAAAATGTTGTTTTCTATTTTATGGCACGATGTGGTATACTTGATTGGTATATAAACAGAGTATGTTTGGAATGTAATGATTCATAACTCAGAGGCTGTGACTTGCGTTCCTGACTCAACTGGCTGGGACAGACAGCGAAGGAGTGCCAATTGGGACTCTAGGTCGTCCTTACATGTTTACGTGTCCACTGTCACAGAAGCGATCGATAAAAACGCTGCTTATCAAAACCCTGCAGTCCCACACACTTTACAACACTACCCAATCCCGAAATTTCTTATAGCAAAGGAACGTCTGCCTGTCCAAACATGATTTTCATTCCCTTAATATTAGCTGCGTTTGATAGTCTTTCGTGTTTATGAAACCTACAAACCGTAAACGTTACATGCAAATATTCCACTTTTATGCACGAAAAAGGAAGATATATTCAGCTATACATGAAAGCATCAGATCAAATTTCATCTCGAAATGCATTTAATTTGTTGCTATGATTATAATATCATCTAAGTAAATTGCAGCACCTGAGGTATCCTATGACATGATGTCTATCATTAGGTGGAATATAGAGGGTGTGTCTTTCACTCTGAAAGGATCGGTTGTATCGGAATGAACCTTGTGCGTATTATTGACTAGGAATTCTCTATATTCTACAGCTACTGGAATTTGTAGGTAAGTTTCTGATAGATCAAAGTTTGCGAAAATTTACCTCTACCTAGCTTGAAGAAAAGATCTTCCAACAAAGGTAAGTGATACGCTGATGGATTTCTAGAACTTCTCTGAGCACAGTTCAGCAATAGGCTCACAAAAGGATGCTGCAATTGAATTTTTTACCATGACTATTGATGCAGCTCATTCTGAGAAATTTAATGGTTCAATAACACCTTTCTGTATATGTTCTTGCTCACTTTTTGGCAGGGCATGTCTGTCGGCATATGTAGTATGCAACACTAATCATAAGTGGAATGTCTGGCAGCAGAAGGTCGAATAGAATAGAATGGGGATGTAAACACAGAGTAAGTGTAATAGCAATGACGGGACGATGAAGTTTGAGACAATTGATTGAGGATTTGCAAATGAAGTATTTCATGTATGGTTTTCATATTTTACGAAAGAACTCCGTGATTTTGTATTAAACAATTAGTTTTCCCTACCAGGGTTCTCGTTCACTACAATAGATTCTACGTTGCATATGACTGATTGAAGAAATTCAGAGTTGATACCAGACTAGGGTTATTAATACATATTCTAGCATATTCATTTATATACTACAAAGAAATCTCGTTCAAATTCAAATACGTAAGAATCAGGCTTAAGAAATCCAATCTTTATTTACGCCAATGGATTCGGTGAAAATCAGTTTCATAAATGACACCGAAAACAAAGGTTTATAAAAGGATTGAATTAATGCACTGCGAAGACTCACTTTTTTCGGCAAAAGTTTATTCAGCCCCAGTTTCTAAAAAAATTATAATGTAAAATTTTGTTTGTTGAAGTCACGTTGATGATTACAATCACAATAAATTTTCATAGTTGAAACACACCAATTTGTTAAATACGTATTACAAAGAATCTTAGTGTCTTATATAGAATAAAAACTCCATATAAAACAATTATTAAAAATCCTCATATTAGTTTATTAAAATTCACAAATGCATATAAATATTACTGCATATTAGAGTAGCCCCCAAATGCCCCGGTACGGCTGAGGGTGGGGAAAGTTAACTCACCCTCTCCAAATGCTCCCTTATGGCCATGTGCATACAACCACTGTCAGGGAAGTCCTACTCACTGCCTTCTCGCGGTATTACTATTGTTTACGAAATTGAGAGGACGAAAAGAGTGTCCGGCGCTTTAACCGGATTGGTGGATATGGAGAATCCACCTAGGGATGTTGGAAAACACTGATTTCAAACCAATGGTGCACATGGGCTCAAGGATCCTGAGGGAACAAATGGTGTATGAACCAATTATTGGTCACCGGTTACCATGGGACTGTATCTCCTGACGTTGCACCACTGCCTTGTGGATCAGACCTTTAGGTCGAAGGCTCCGGGTGTGACCCACTAAGAAAACCACCTGCTTCGGTCTGGGCACTCGAGTAGTATTACAGCCCACACACAAATTAAATGAGATTTGTGTGGCGCATATGTACCTGGTGCCCCCTTGTACCAATATTTATGCGTTTAGATAAATATTGAGAGAGTAAAGCCTGATGAAAATCCAACTGAGGACAGTATTGTTCGTTTATATGTGTTTGTTGTTTTAATAAATAATTAACAACCCTGGTATAAGATTCCTAGACTGACTTTTTTTATTGATTTGCGTAATTTGCACAAGTACTAGACTTATTAAGGTGACAGTATATTAAACTTCAAATTAAACCATAAAAAGTACACTACAAGCTGGTTTATATTAGTGTGGAACTTAGAAAATCAGAAAGTGGGGATTTTATAACCCAATCGAATATATCCCTGTTTCATAACTAACTGTTCTGGTGAATTTCGTTCTTTCCCATATGTTTCCCACTACTTTTGATGGTTGAAAATTCACTCCGATTTTTTGTTGTTGTAGGTCTCCCCTCACCATGTTAATATGGAATGTGAACATTCAGTATGAAACACAACTGTGTCGTGTCCTATGTTAATGATACCAGCCGCAATAAACAATACCTTAAGAGAGATCTATGAATTTTGTTTAGATAGTATATAGTTTAGGTCAAAAATTGACTTAAGGTTGACAACCATTGAAGACCATGGAGTAATGAAAAGCTATTTCATCTCAGTACAAGACTCCTCAGAGGTGGGCGATCTAGACTTCTACTCAATACCCCGGAGCAGATACAGGAATTCCAGGCTACGTGGTGAACATATTACTTTAGACAAAAGATTACTGAATATTACATTTCATATCACGGGTCGCAATAAAGACTGACATATAGTTTCACTCTGTCATGATGAGTCAAGAATACGGTGAGGTTTATAATTACATGTATGCACAGAAAAACTCCCGACCGTTGCACTGGTGTTGTCCAATAAGGCACGGAAAGCACTTGTAGGATGGGAATCTCATGGATTCAGTATCATCAAAGCATCCCTCAAAACGAAGGAAGGGATCATAATGAATGTTATCTAGTGCTGTGCATCCACCAATGATAGCAATGAATATGATGGTGTTTTATGAGAAGCTGCAGTCGATCGTGAGGAAGTGCCCAGGAAATAACCTGACCATCGTAATTGGAGACCTAAACGCCAAAGTCAGAATGCACAACACTGGGTATAAAGATATCATAGGACCATATGGAGTAACTGGGAGAGAAGAACGAGAATGGTGAGAGGTTTGTAAATTTACGTGCGTTCGACAAAATGGTTATAGGTGGGAGGCCTATACTTCTTCATGAGGGGTGACGGGTGTAAGTAATTAAGTAAAAATACATAATGAATGGAGTGTAGAAAGTCAAGCAAATGATAAGAGATGTATAGTTCAATGGAAGATATCACCATTTCGTAACTAACTAATCTGCAAAATTCTTTCCTTTCGCACGATTAAAAAATGTATTGGCAAGTATGCACTAATTACCATTAATTCTTCAAACAAGTAAATTGAAACTTTCGAACTATAACGAGATTTAACTTCTTCAAATTTAGAATCATTTGCAATAATGATTAAAATTTCAAGGGAAGATTCAAATTTGTCCATTAAATGAAGAGCTTCACTTCCTGAAGCACACAGCACACAGTTCATTTTCGCTAAAATTTAAGTAGAATAAGCATTGATTAAAAATTTATGATTGTTTATATCTTTCTTAGCTTGACTACAACATTTTCAATTGAAAATCTGTTACCGTAAGGTAATTTGAAAAAGTATCATTTTGTTAAGGATAATGTATTACACCCTTGTAAAACTAACATATTTACTTGAAATAATTTATCATATATTCGGTTTTTTATTCCTGGATGCTACCAGCAACAATGAAAACAGCCACAAAAATGTATGGAACCCAGTTAAAACAGATACCTTCATAAACACAATGGATAAATATCGAATTTCACTGAAATTCTATTAACTGTTGTACTAATCATGTGATACGTTTAATGTAAAACAGTCAGTCAGTAACAACGGAGAACTTCGTACGTACGTACATCAGTTCCAGTTGCCATACCACATTAGCACAGAGATGCAGTTGTCACATGCAGACAAATTATTTAGTAAAATAAACTATACTAAAGAAAAGGTGAAAATTAAGTAAATGACACCAAAAACAAACTCACTTTGCGATAGAATATGTTGCAAAGCTTCATCACCGAGAGTTGGATACAAAGGTACTATGGTATAAGAATATGCTGCACATGCATGCTGCATAATAACCCACTGGATAGTAGAAAAAATAGTTGGGTTTAATGAACTGTGCAACTAGTAATAATTATAACTGAATGAGTATAAAATAGAATAACGCAAATATATGAATTGTTGAGTAACAGTTGTTTTCTTCAACAAACATACTTGTTTATGATAGGTGGCGCCTGAGTAAGGTGAGGGGAGGTTTAGACCCTCAGCATTGACGTCTCGCACCTTTAATTACTTATCAAACTGAACAGTGATGCGTGTGAATAATCTATTAGAGTATGCGAGTAACAAAAAAAGATGAAGGTGAATAGAAGCAAAAATGAGAAATAATTACTAAGATCATCTATGAGGTTTTCTTTAGCCAAGAAGAAGATAGAGGTATTACAAACTTCTTTTGGATACCAAGACTATGGTTTTGGGTACGAGTTCCTTACTAACTTCTATCATACCACACCAAAAATTAGAATATCATCGGTTAAAAAGAGGTAGAAAAAGAGAGGTTCCCGTACATTAACCTAAATATGATTTACCATTTAAGTTTATAAGCAGCAATTGTCATAACTAACAAAATTGAAGAGTAAGACTTCGCAAATGATCTGGCTCTTCTATAGCACACGCAACAACGAATGCAGAAGACGACCAGTGTAGCAGCAGTAGGTCTCAACATACATAAAGGGAAAAGCAAGATTCGCCGATAGAACACAACATACACCAATCAAATCACAATTGACGGAGAAGCTTTGGAGGATGTAAAAACCTTTCCATATCTGGGCAGCATCATTGATGAAAACGGCGGATCTGGTGCAAATGTGAAGGCGCGGATCGACAAAGCAAGAGAAACATACCTATAATTGAAGAACATCTGGAACTCAAAACAACTGTCAGTCAGCACCAAAGTCAGGGTTTTCAATACAAATGTCAAGACAGTTCTACTGTATGGGGCGGAAACTTGGAGAACTACGAAAGCCATCATCCAGAAGATACAAGTGTCTATTGACAATTGGCTGCGCAAAACACTTCGGATCCGTTGACCAAACACTGTCAGCAACAACCTACTATGGGAGGGAATAAACCAGATCCCAGTGGAGGGAGAAGCGCTGGAAGTGGGTAGGACATACGTTGAGGAAAGCACTCAACTGAGTCACAAGGCAAGCCCCCACTTGGAATCCTAAAGGTCAAAGGAGAAGAGGAAAGCCAAAGAACACAATACGCCGAGAAATCGAGACAGACATGAGAAGAATGAACAATTGGATAGAACTGGAAAAGAAGGCCCAAGGCACAGTGGATAGGAGAATGCTGGTCGGCGGTCTATGCTTCACTGGGAGTAACAAGCGTAAGTAATGAAAAACGATGAAGAAACGTATGTGTAGGACAAGCATACTAGATATATTTATTTTTTAAGTAACCTAAAGGAATATAATTCATGACTTGTGATACAGAAGTAAGGTCTCACCATTCGGATATCTCACTTTCCACGAACACGGTCTGGGCATCAGGCAGTATCACAGGCCACACACAAATCAAGTGACTTGTGTGGGGCATATGTATTCGGTCCCCTTTTTACCAATGTTTATGTGTTCAAATAAATAAATAAACGAATTACACACCATATCTCATTGGTAAAATCCCATTTGGTACAGACACTGAAAACACTTCAACGATTAATTAATTTACAAAGTAATGTGTATTTCAAAATTGAATAACTTTCAGACTTACCTCTGGTGAATTTGGTGCATAAATCCCGACAAAATTTTCACAGTCATGTTTAAGTTTCACAATTTCTGAGAGTGCCGACCCGATAGCCCTTATTCGCTCATCTACCTGAAAAAATATACACTTCAATTGGGACTATTTACTTCATCATAAGTTAGCCACGAGTATGGATCATTGAAAGACGGCCGTTTCCCCAGACACCGATTGGATCCTGTATTTGAAGGAGTTTCAAATAGAGCATTAAAAACTAATAAATCGATAAGTGACATCTACGAAGCTTTTTATTGTGATCACAAAAAGTGCAGTAAACGTAATACATGATAACATGCTACAAAATATTCACAAATTACAAATTAACTGCTGACCCAGTAAACCACGTGAGTTAACAGTTTTAATTCACGATAATACAAATAATCCCCATTTTGAGTGGCGACCATAAAATAAACAGTATTTCAAGCAATAAAGTACTGTTTAATCACCATAAAACAACATTCGGGATTTTATAGTTCCGTAACAGAAAAAGTATATAACGTCCTTCCCTGTCTTCTTAGTGAAGAACATAAAAAAGTCAGAAACCTCAATAGGAAAAAATTATAGGATTTCACTGCTCTAAATACAGAGTAAAATCTTAAAGAAGTTAAGCATTTTGACGTTGTAAATATATTAGAATAATAAATTTCAGTTTGTGAGTAACCCTTGTAGAAGCTTACACTGAAACTAGTCTACAATAAAACAATGATTTATGCCTACACTATAACGCTGCGGTGTTAAGCGTTGCTTTACCAACCCGTGCTTTTACGTCTGCATCGAATCCTCCTCATTCATCGATGATGATGTCCGGGTATGTGAAAGTCTCCACCAGAAGAAACAGAAAGGATGAGAGTAAGCAACTTTGTTTGACACCGGTCCTCACTTGGAATGCATCTGTCAGCTGTTCTCCATGGACCATTTCGCAGTGTAGTCCGTCGTATGAATTCCAGACGATTTTGATGATTTTTTCACCCACTCACTCCAATGTCGAGGAAGATTCCATAACCTTTTTCTATCCACGCTATCTAATGCCTTCTCATAGTCAAGGAAGTTTCCATTCAACTGATTTTTCAGCGATGATTTTGTCTGTATACGACAGGTCTTTACGGAATCCGGTCTGTTGATCTCAAAGTTGAACGTCTATTGCATCCTTTGTCCGGCTCAGTAACTCTCTGCTAAAAACTCCTGGTACCGATAGCAGTGTGATGCCTCTGAATTCTCACATTTGCTCAGGCCTCCTTTCTTTGGTATATTGATGAGGTGCAGTTCTTTCCAGTCTGTAGGTGGCACTTGTTATTTCTTCCGAATCTTCCTGAATAGAACGGGGAGCATCTTTGCAGTTACTTCTGTGTCTGACTTCAGTGCTTCGGTTGATATATTGTGAGGTACTTCTGCTTCCCTACTCTTGATTTCTCTGATGGCCATCCTGATTTATTCGATCGTTGGTGAAGTGATATATATAGGAAGGTCTGCTTGTGCTACTTTGATGTTCGATGGATTCAGAGGGGCTCGTCTATTCAAGAGTTTCTCAAAATGTTCCACCCATCTCTTCCTCTGCTCTTGAATTTCAGTGATTGTCTTGCTTTCTTTGTCATTGACCAGTCTCTCTGGTTTACTACATATGTGTGTGCTCATTTCTTCATATTGTATCATAGTTGTTTCATATTTCCGCTTGCAGGTTTTGCCGCTGTCCTTGCTGGCTCTTCCACATTATTTTTATTTCAACACATAAATATTGGTACAAGAGGGCACCAAATATGTATGCGCCACACCATATTTGTGTGTGTGGGCTGTGATACTGCCCGGGTGCCCAGACCGAAGCAGGTGGTTTTCTTAGTGGGCCACACCCCGAGTCTTCGACCTAAGGGTCTAATTCACAAGGCAGTGGAGCATCGTAAGGAGATGCAGTCCCATGGTAGTCGGTGACAAACGATTGGTTCATACGCCTTTTGTTCCCGCATTATACTGGAGCCCATGTGCACCATTGTTTTGGGATCCGGTTAAGGCGCCGGACATTCGCTTTTTGTCCTCTCATTCTCGTAAACAACATCCCCGCCACGAGAATGCAGTGAGTAGGACTTTCCTGGCAGAGGCTGTCTACGCGTGGCCGTGTGAGAGTATTCCGAGGGGGGGGGCGTGCCCACCCCACTCTCGGCAATATCACGACATTCGGAGGCGCTCTCCCACATATTTCTGCTTGTCAGCTCTAATAATCTTCTTCACTTAATTGTTTGCCTCCGTGTATTTAGCTTGTGCTTTGTCTTTTTCAGTTCTTGTTCGGTTGTTGATAATTGCTGTTTTAAAGAGAGCAAGAACAAAGGTTAGTGCAGAATAATATGAATTCATTTTATTTCGTTAGGTTCTCATCAGCTGCTTACAACCTAAAATATTTGAAATTCAAGGTTATTATAGATATTGACATACTTATACAACAGAGGGCGATGAAGGATGAATATATGTAACATAATGTAGCAAAGATTTTGTTAGAGTTAGTGAGGTCATAAAATTTTGTTTCGAATATATAGAGTTTGGGAGGGAAAGTTCCAGAAAATTGAGATAGTGATTAGAAATCATGGAATTAAAACACATTAGACGATTATGTAATGAAGTAACTGAAAATAGATTAGTGTTAATAAAGAGAGATATGAATTGAAATTGGTCAATTATGAATGATGTAATAAAATTCAAAAAGAGTTAGAATGACGTAATAAAAATAAATAAAAATAAAAGGGGATGGGGTGAATGTTAAGAAAGATTTATTACTGTTTCTTTGCCCTGGTAACATTCACCCTATCCCCTTTTATTTTTATTTATTTTTATTACGTCATTCTAACTCTTTTTGAATTTTATTACATCATTCATAATTGACCAATTTCAATTCATATCTCTCTTTATTAACACTAATCTATTTTCAGTTACTTCATTACATAATCGTCTAATGTGTTTTAATTCCATGATTTCTAATCACTATCTCAATTTTCTGGAACTTTCCCTCCCAAACTCTATATATTCGAAACAAAATTTTATGACCTCACTAACTCTAACAAAATCTTTGCTACATTATGTTACATATATTCATCCTTCATCGCCCTCTGTTGTATAAGTATGTCAATATCTATAATAACCTTGAATTTCAAATATTTTAGGTTGTAAGCAGCTGATGAGAACCTAACGAAATAAAATGAATTCATATTATTCTGCACTAACCTTTGTTCTTGCTCTCTTTAAATTTAATAAAGGGAACTATGTGTATGAAATTGCTGTTTTCCTGTTTTTCCTCTCTTGAATCATGTCCAGGGTTTCTATAGAGATCCATTCCGTATGATGATGCTTCTTAAGGGCCAGAACCAACTGAGACGTTGAAGCTAGTGACTCTTTTATATTTTTCTATTTGTCCTCCATAGTAGTTTCTTCTTCTTTGAGATCTTGTAAAGCTTGGAACTTGTTGTTGAGATCTATCTTGCACTCGTGGAGTATTCCAAATACATAGAGCTATTAATCATATATATCGTGCACAGTAAGTGCTAGATAATTGGAATTCCAAATCAAGTTGTCGTTTAACTTCATGATTTTTCGATCTTATATATGTAAATATATTTTCATCACTTAATACAACAGAAAATGTTTAAAGCTTTAATTTTGTTTTGTTTACGTTATCTAATAGCATGGGACACAATTTAGCACAGAATCCCGAAAAACGTTTCATTTTCCAACCTCTAGATATATTGGACCAAACAAATAAAGTGTAAGAACTTACAATAAATACACTACCATGAGTTAAGGCACCATTTGATAGCATGTATAGAAAATTCATCACAATACTAAAAACAATGATCGTTTTTCAAAACATATTCGCTCATATAAACCCATCAAGTTTCAACTAGCAGTAACAAAGGGAACAGGAGAATGTTAGAAGACTTTGTATTCAAATCATTCACGAATTATTGAGAATGATGAAATTCACTTACGCTATAAACTGATAGGAAATACAATAGCCACATGGGAAACAGTTACGATAAACTGTTGACTGTTTGTGAACCGATTCTAAAAAGTCACTTCTAGGATTAAGTACTGGTGATGTTGTGTCGAAAGAAAATGAAAAGCTCACAAGTAAACAAACACAATAACAAATAACAAGGTTCTACTTGGCAGTTGATTATTCAACTAGATCTATTTCGCAAATCAAAGTTTATCGTGAACAGACAACAATAAACAAATAGTTAGTGTGAATGGATGAACTTACTCGAATTATTTAAGCCATATTCAAAAAGATCTTTGACTGTTTGTACACGAGATTCGTCAGTGAACTTTCGAGAAATCGGAGATTTTCGTGCACCAGTCTAAAATTACCGAACAAATCAATCAATAAATATGAAAAATAATTCTTGAAATCAATTAATAAGATAGTAACAGAAAGAAAATTCTTCCGTCACAACTTAATATGTACCAAAGTTTTTCTTAAAAGTTTTTAAGAAATTGAAAGAATTAAAATCTTGTCGAATCAGTTATTTGTAAATGAAAAATTAATTGACTGAAGTTAAATTAACTCGTCTACCAGGTTCTTGGGTATGAACAACACTAAGTGCGAAGCCTAATGGAACTTCTTGGCTGCCCAAACCAAAACTGCAAATAATGGTGTATGAGGCTAACCACGTATCAGTACGTACATAATAGTATATCAGATTGAGAAATTTAAGCATTTTTAATGTATTTACCACATATGATGTGGCTAATATAACGATAAGTAAAGAATGATGATCAATTTATACTGAGCTGACTAAGATTTATGCCCTAATAAAACAATTTCATATTTTTATCCAATGCTATACTTCACTTCCGAATTATCCACTCAGTGGTTTTATATCATGCGACCTACGATTTGTAGACATTTGTCGTCGAATGATTATAAGAACTGATATCTCATGAAAATTGTCTGAAGATTGTGAATTCATCACAAAACAAAAGAATGGTGCAACAATATAACAAAGAACTCTAGAGCTAATAAACGTTACATTAAATAATACTTAGTTATTGTTGGGGAAATCAAGAAAATTTCTCAAAAATGATAAAAAAGGGTTCTGTAAATACTGAGAAACATCTTATCCAATCAGCATTCGATATAAGTTTTGCCAGAAACATCTAGAAAGTGCCGCGTTTCTGCATGGATGATTACCTATACTGCTATGTTTAGTAGCGCTCCAGAAATTTCTGGAAGCCCATGGCCATCAAAAATACTATACATACCCTAGATTTTCTGTATGTAAACGAACTTTCGAAGTAAAGCGTTTTCTCCCATACTTTTTAGTGACACTACCTACATTAGGATGACTATAATACCTTTCAAAAATACATCTAATTGAAGACACTCTGATCAAGTTGAGTTGAATAACATGATAAAAAGAGTAGATTTAGAAGCTCAGGTAATTAAATGTCAGTCACCTTGCCACAGTAGATGGATGTTAGGTTGTTGATAATGCTGAAATAACTATTAATCATGTACGGACACGGTTTAAAACCAGTCTCTGTATCAGACAACAGCTCATACTTTCTAAACACCACGCTTAATACTATTTCGTCTATCTTAATCCTTAATTACATTCTTTTTTCGATATGTTCACTCGTCGATTTGGGGTTTTCATTATTGTTGATAACTGGGATTTTGATTTTATTGCTTGTAGTGTGTTGTTATCAGATGTAGTAATTCAAAGCGGTACTGTATTATTTACATTAATCACTGAATAACTATTTAGTATAGAATATTTGAGTCCATTAAACACTACACTTCTAGAAAACGACGGACAAAACGGTTATTTGAGTGATTAACAACTCACTTTATGATCGGATATTATTGACTGCTGATTTAAGTGCACACTAATAAACGATTTTGAACGATCTAATGGGAAATATTTTTCATAGGAATTTGGATAGGTTGACCGTTTATCTTTGAAAGTAGAAACAAACAGAACAGAAATAACTAGGAACATCTACAATTTGTAAATTATGGTCTATATAATAATCACGATACCTAGCGATGTGGCTATTCGTTAAAAGGCAATTATTCTGGTTTGTTATTCACCAAGGAAACTGGGCATAAATTTGACGAACATCTCATAAGATTTATGAACTTAATCCTTAGTCTGGGCTATTGTGTCACTAGGCTGACATTAGAGTTTTTAATTGATCGGTTAAGCTCCACAAATAACAACGATATGATTTGCAACTTAGAAGAAAAACTTCAGTAATTTTCTACGGCTTGAGTGACTTCCCTATCACCTACCAAAGCAGCTGACACTTTATGACCCAAGTTAATATGTTGGGGTGCTTAATTAGCTGCTTCAACTTCGTGAAAGTGTAGCTCAGGCTCAAAGAATGACACCAATAGTTCTGTTTGTAAAACTGGGTAAGACTGTCGAGAAATTGTCGTCCAGTAAATCTTACCATCATAGTCAATAAATTACAAGAGAAAGTCATTCATCTTATCAGCCACCAATTCGAGGGAGATGATATGTTCGAAACAAAGCAACACGATTTAATAGATCATTTTTGTTTGACAAACCTCATAGTTAGAAAGAACTGAGCAGCAGTCAAAGACGACAATTTGTCAGTCGGCACAAAACCTATAGATCTCAGAAACATCGTTGACAGGATTTCCTAATTGAGACATGAGAAGGCAAAAAGCTGACGGATGAATGTGAATTTAAGGAATGAGATGAAAATGGATGGATCATATTATTTATGATTCAAAGGAACAACAGAAAGCATTAGGAATCCTAGCAACAAAGAATGAACTACGAAATAAACATGAGTCGAGATATATAACTATACTGCCAAGATCGATTTGTGGAAATGCTAGATTACAAACCAATCTGAAATATACATTGACAAATAAAGTTCTTAGAGAATGGTACTAAGCAAAACAAGTTGTAAACTCAGTGGTATCACAAAATCCAAGAATTAGCATGTTTTGGAAGCAACTTTCGCTTTTATACTACTTAACCGATCTAAGGAGCATTACTCCATATATCTATTCCTCGGTAAACGATATATACGGGAAGTAGACATAAATATACGGACGAGTAACAGAGAGAAACGTAGAACAAGACCTCCCAATTAAATAAGAATGGGGAAATAGAAGCAATTCGAGGAATGTACAAGCGACAATGGCTAAGATTTGGTTAATTCAGGGGACAGAACAAATAAAAGTAATCTTTTTTGCTTATAGGCGTATGTTGTGAAAGTAATAAGACATGACAAAATGCAGTTCGTCAATCGTAAAATCTGTGAGGTGACACCTTAGTGATCGTCGAACTACCCACTTCTCGCCTATACTTGACTTCATTACTTTATCCTTTATACTTCCATATATATATATATATATATATATATATATATATATATATATATATGTTGTGTGCCATGAAACGCAAACATTATAACACTTTTTATATGTACGAAACTGAAACTAAGCGAAATTGTGCATAATACTACAAGCTAACTAGTTCTGAGTATTTCAAACGGAACAATCTTTGGAACATTTAGAGTACTATATCTGCCTTGCCTGAAATCCTATACATTTACCTGGAGAAACACAACATTTTTCATGTTAAAGAGCTAAACTTCCAAACCGGACCTACCAGGCATCGCACAATATACACCAACTGCAGGCTGAGGAGACTAACTGCAAGCTGATGGTAGTTAAATAACAAAGTTGAAAGGTGAACTGCGTTTTGATTGGCTTAGTTGTTTGTGCGCCTTTTGTCCAACATTATCAATACCCATGTGCTTTTGACGAGCAAGTGCAAACCGAACATTTTCCATGCCCTCTTGGTGTTAAAGTGAGATTCCACTGACAAACGTTTAGAAATTCCACAACTTCTTTTCTCTTCTTTTCCTGATATCATGCGTGAAATTTTTAGGGACACGTGGAATGATGTACAAGGCAGAAGGATATGATATTAAAGAGCAACTGTTGTGGGCACTTACTCCATCACTAAGTATTATTCTCCTTAGGTCACAGAAGAGTAAGGGGTGGTCTGAAAGCCACGTTCACGATTCTGTAGCGGTAAAAAGATCCCCAAAATAAATAGCTCTGTAAGTCTTCGACATTGGATGCTGACCACATTAGTTTCAATGGACTCACCTAGCTGAACGGGGTTCGGTCATGCATCCGCATCAGATCACGAGTGGGAACGCCGTGCTCAAACTCCCCTGCAATCGCTAGCCAGCCTAGGTCAGTCTATCCTCGATACATTGATAGCCTATCAAATATATCTTCGAACCTCCTCGCTTCTGTATTTTGATTTCACTTGGTGGGTACGATTCGCAGTAGAATGTGTTACATGTTAAAGCGTTGTCGAAATCCAAAAACCCGTGGCATTTTCAATTCCTTGGGTTTGTAACGGTTTCCCACAAATGAATATATATATCACAAACTTTTCCTTCTCGATGTAAAGGTAGAGTATTATTATTATTATTAATGGCTTTATTCAATATTATATTTTGGTACAATATAGAGTTATCAGCACAGGGTATTTCAACAAGTTACTTACTGAACAACGAACAAAAATGCAGTAGCAAATACAAAAAGAAATAAAAAAAGGTTTTAAAAATATATATATAAATTTAAAAAAAGAACCAAAAAATAACTGTACAAACTTTTTTAAAATTAAAGACATGTTAAGAATGTTAGTTATTGACTATGTAAATTCTAAAAACCTGTTCGTCACAGAGTATATTTGCTAAGTAACGTATTATAGAACTTTTATACTTTCGCTTGCGTGCATGGATTTGTTATAACGTAAAAAATAAATGCTCCTGATTAAGGGGTAGCGAATTATTGATCGGACCAAAGACGCGCAAACACGTAGAACGACCTAGGGTTCTGATTGGTCTCGCTTCCCTGTCTAACCCAGCCAGGTAAGTCCAGAACACAAGTCACAGCCTCGGAGATATGAATCATTATATTTCAAACATACTTTGATTATATACCAGTCAAGCAGACCACAACGTACCATAAAATAGAAAATAACATTGTACAATAATGGCCAGTAGGAAAATGACACGTTAAACAAATATTGACCAATAAGATGATACCATTCCATGTCCAAGGATAGCATTAGGCTTAACAGGATAATTTTTGGGATATTTTCCTGAATATCCCAACAGGATTTTAATGTAATTACTTCTCGTTCTACCAGAAAATATACAAGGAGAAAGATAAGAGTGAAGGGGATGGCTAGTATCTGATAAAATAACACCTGCCAGGAGTTTGCATGATTTTAAATGTCTATCCACAACCATATTAATTATGATCTCGAAAGATTCACCACACACCTTGCTAACTGCTTTCAGCACTTTCCGCAATACAGCAAAGTCTTTTCTCAAACGCCCGGGAAAGCATAATGGAGAACAGTAAAGAATAATACGTAATATGCAAGAATTGACAAATTGTAAGAGTAAATGACGAGTAATTCCAAGAGCATGCAATCTCTTTATGTAGTAAGTCAGACGGAAAACCTTCTTCGAAAACGATAAAACGTGGGAAGACCAAGACAGATCAGAGGAAAAGGTGACACCTGTATGCAAACTGGTATGGGTGAGTATGCTCTTTTATCGCAGGCTGAAGTGGAAGTATTAATAATTTTTCCATGGTTTTGAGGAAGGGTGAAGTTATTGCAATAGGTCTACATTTTGCATTTTTATCACCAAACGCTTTCTTGGGTACAGGAATTATCTTCATCTTTCTCCACATTTTCGGTATGAGATTAGATGAGAATGTTCTGTTAAATATAGTTGTGAACGGATGACACAGAACGTCAGCACATTTTCAAAAAAAGGATGTTTGGGATATCATCAGGTCCCAAACATCGAGATGAATTAAGCGACCGGAGACATCCTCGTATATCAGTTTCACTGAAAGTAGGAACACAGCTATTTTTTAAACCCGTGGATAGAGGGAGAATCACATCAGATGACTGACGTAAAAAGACTTATTTAAGTCACAAACATTCAGCTGGTTATTGCTTCTAAACTTTCTGTCACTTGTAAGTTCTTTAAAGAATTTCCACATACTTGAAGAATTTTTGAAAGATAAGAGTTTTTGAGTAAACATACGGTTGAGACGTCTAATCTCTAGGTTTATCAGACCATTTAGCTTACGAACTTCATTTGAGTTCTTCTCCTTGCACATTCTTTCTTTCATCCTTCGTAGTCGTTTTAGTTGTGAAGATGTAAGTCGATCAAAACCTACAAAAATGGTTTCAGTGGGAAAACAAATATCAAAACAGAATTTAAGGTAACAAGTGATAACATCAGTAGTGATTTCGAGTGAGTCATCTGTAAATAATTCCCAGTTAGTCGTATGAAACATGTTTTTGAGATTTCGGATATTTTCTTCTGAGTAATTCCTATATTTGACTTTCTTGGTTTGATGTAAGCGTGTACTCTTCCCATGCTTTCCATATACTTTAGGTAGGACACGAATAATACAGTGATCCGAGCTAGACAATGGAGCACGTTTACGAGTCGCATATATACCCACATCATTAATAAAGACGAAGTCTAGATGAGCATCCAAATGAGTAGTAAAATCCACTACATTTCGGTGACCTAGTGACGTAAGGAAGCTACAGTCACAGGAATTGAAATCACCACATACGACTGAAAGTGAATCACTGAAGGCAGTAACAGCGAACTCAGTGAATTCATCAGGAAAAACAAATAGTGCAGATGATGTGCAATCTGGAGTCACGTAGATATTGGTAACATAAACATATTTGTATTTATTCAGATGTTTTGGACGACATCTTAGAGTTAGACAGTCGACAGAGTCATTTTAAAACTTAAAACACACAAACGAAGATCGACACCAGTTTATGTTCACAAACGTAGCTACACCGCCACCACATCTCTTTTTATTGTTTGATCAATCCTGACGATAAATTTTGAAATCACGAAGTGAAATTAGGCAGTCGTCCTGTAAATTATTTAACCAAGATTCTTGAATTATAATGGCACCACAATTCCCAAGCAACACAAAAAGGGGAAATAAAGGGGAAGAAAGGGGAAATAAAGCGGACGAAAGCGTAAATAAAGGGGAAATGTCGCTTTTTCGCCTTTACGTCGGCTATTTAGGGGAATTGTCGCTTTTTCCCCCTTACGTCGTGTATTTGGGGAAATTTGTCGACAATTCTACGTAACGTACAGTGTTTGAATGAACTGCATCGAGGACTGAAGTTTTCATAAACTTCGACAAATTTAGGCACCGCTTAATAAAAAAACAAAAGTATTGTCATAGAAACAATGTACAAAATACGGAACCAGGCATTCGGTTGATACGCATATAGAGTGACTTCGTTTGTTGTTTAGCTAAAGTGTTCCGACATGCTTCGGAGCCATCACAAAAACTTACTTGATGCAGGTGAGTGACGTGCTCTCAGATTTTCATGTTCATTGTAACTGATTACTTTGTAAGGCCAATACTATGAGTTATTTTCAAAGTGAGAATGTTTGTAGACGTAGGGCCACTGTGAACTTGTCACGTTCCCTTGGTTGTCGTAGATCCACTTATAACAGAAGATGGAAGAAAATGAAAGCTGCTTTCATGAAAAAAAAATATCACTTTCTTTCGTTCAGTGAGTTTGCTAATGAAAGCACCCTAAAAGGTAACTCCCGATCGAAGCTGCTACCTTGACGCGGTGGTCGGGCTTGCCTATCGTGATGACCCAACCGAGCTATACTGGCTGGAACATATGTTCCTGCAGGTTCTACCATGCCAGGCAGGTCGATTGGCGAACGGTAAGACTAAAAGCAGCAACTCAAGGTCTGAGGGCGAAGTCGTACTGCTGACTGTAGAGAGGTGTGACAGCAGTAAGGTGTTTCCCTCGGACAACCAGCATGACAGCGATGCTGCCTTCCCACAAGGAGGGGTGGGGTTAGAAAAGGTCGACCCTAAAAATGCACACCTCACCTTACCTCACGGATTTCCGTCTCCGGCGGTAAGGCCCCTTGAAGAACGGAGCTAACACGTCAAAAACCTTCCACAAAAAGGCCGTGCGCGACCGGCCTCAAGCAGTTGTCCCTTGGGCTCTGCGGTCACGCTCCCAGGTCGTCAAGACCAACACTAATCCAATTTCCTTTTCAGGTTCATCAAGAAATACCCTTCCACGGTGTGGGCAGCCGGGAAGTGACATCAGCCCTCATACCCGTAACAGCACAAGAGACCAAGGTGGTCACATTCAAATCCTTCCTACACCTCCTAATACCTCTCTTATCCTCCCGACTAACCCTCCTCACGTCTCTTTATCACCTCGCACCGCTAGGGCAAACGATTCGAGTACGTGGAACGCCATTCCTGGGCTCCTGAAACCACGCTCTAAACTACACGTAGGAGCTTTTAACGTACGAACACTGTGCCAAATAGGACAACAGGCTTCCTTAGCTAGGACTTTAGAATCTCGCGCCATCGATGTGTGCTGCGTCTCCGAAACGCGCATACAAGATCCGAGTAGCGTCATTCATTTGACCTCACCATGCCAAAATAAACAACCGACTCGATTTACGCTTCGTGTATCTGGAAGCCCTGATTCTGCTTCCCGTGGCCTCGCCGGCGTAGGTATAGCATTGAGTCCTAGGGCAGAACT